CCATCACCACCATCACCCCCACCTGTACCACCGTCACCACCTCCATCACCACCACCTCCATAACCACCATAACCACCATCACCTTCACCTGTACCACCACCACCTCCCTCATCATCACCTCCTCCAACATCACTGCACCCCCAAGCCCACCTGCACCCTCTCTCCCGCCTCCATCACCCCCACCATCATTTTGAGTGCTGACTGCCTTCCCAGCTCTGTACTGAACCCCTCATTCATCCTCCCCCTTTCCCTTGAGTTGGAAGTTTCTCTCGGTGTCTGAGTCCGTTCAGGCTGCTATAACAAAGTACCCTAGACTGGGTGGCTTATAAACAGCAGGCATTTGCTTCTCACAGTTCCAGAGGCTGGTGAGGACCTGCTTCCTGGTTCACAGAGGACACCTCCTGGCTGTGTCCTCATGTAGTAGAAGGGGCGAGGGAGTTCTCTGGGGTCCTTTTATAAGGACATGAATGCCATTCATGAGGCTCCACCCCCATGACCTAATCACCTCCCAAAGCCCCACCTCCACACACCATCACCTTGGGGAGTGGGTTTCACATGTGAATTTTGGGGGACAGACGTTCAGTCTGTGGCAGTTGGTGACCCTTACGTTTCTTTTCTCATTCTGTTGACTGTAGGCAGGCATACCTAACTTAACCAGCTCCAGGGTTAGCCAGCTCTTCCACAGTCTCCCTTATAACACCGCCCGAGAGCCCTGGCTGCGGGTGCAGGGTTCTGTCCAGCAGACCTCCATCACCACTGCCCCTAGAGCCACCCGCTGGTCTCCCCAGTCCCTTGTTCTCATTACACCCTGGGGACTTGGTTTCCTTCGCCTGAAATGCATCCTTTAGTTGCTCTTTCCACGGGAGTCTGTTAGTCGTCTGGAAACAGCTGTTTTGCCTCACCCTTGGCTGATGGTGGAGCTGACTGCTGAGTTCCTAGTTGACGTCATGTCTCCCGACACTTCGGAGATAGCATCTCACTGTCTCTGGCGTCTCTTGATGGTTGGGAGAGTCTGCCGTCACCTGCACCGTTGTCTGCCTCTTCTGGATGTTTCCATGATCTTCTTTTGGTCCTCTGCAAATTTAGTCTGTAGTGTTGAGGAGTGGACATGTTTTCTGTTGCTCAGGACTCAAGTTTTTTGAATCTGAGAAAAGCATCTTCATTAATTCAAGACCATGCTGGACCGTTAGCTCTCTGACTGTCGGCTCTCCCTTCCTCTGCCTCTTCTCTTTTTCTGGAGTTCTCCTTATGTAGATGGGAACTTCTCGTTTCCTTCTGTCTCAGAACTTCTCATGTTCCCACCTCTCTGTCTTCTGAGCTGCCTCCTGGGCGGTTCCCTCAGTCCTCTGAATCTCTCCAACTGTGTCTGACCTGGGTAGCCCATTGATTGCATCTTTAATTTCAGTAATTTTGTTTTCCTTTATAGACGTTCTGATTGGTTCTTTAGTCAACATCTGCCTATTTTTCATAGCATTGCGTTTTTGATGTTTTAGAGTCCTTTGGTTATAATCTTTAAACAGCCTTCTTTTACGGTTTCTACTCGACTGCTCCATTAAGTGAAGTTCTGGGGTCGAGTCCCGCGTTTGCCGTGTTGGCCGACCCTGCTGCGCTGTCTCTGCGAGTTCTTCAGCAGGGCTTCATCTGTGTCATGTCCATGTGCCCTACATTGGGAAGAATCCCTCCAGAGTGGTTTTGTGAGGGCTTTCACCAAGCACCCCAGGGCATCACCAGCCTGGTACCACTTTAAATGTTAATTTCTTGGCTTAGGGGTGCTCTGACCGTGTAGATTATTGAAAAAGCAAACACAGGCTGCAAGCCCTTGGTTGCAGATCCTTGGCACTGGGTGAACACAGACCGGTTTCCTGTGATTACCTGGCTGTAGCAGGTCATTCCCACTTCCTCTTTCCCTGAGGCCCTCCAGATGTCCCTGGACTCTGACAGGCAGCAGGGTTGACTCCCAAGGCCTTGGGGACCCTCGTGGGGGACGAGGTAGACCCTGTGATTTGAAGCTCTGGGTCTCATCTTCCTCAACTGGCACCTGGGGTCCGGCTCAGGACACGCACAGCCCTGCAGCCGTGGTGCTGGCCCGGGCACAGAGCAAACAGCCCGGGACGGGGCTGTGATCCCTGCCCCACCTCCGCTGATTGTGGGTGTGTGTGCCGGGAGGTGGGGCTTTGGCACGGGCGTCCTGTGCGGTAGGTGGCTGCAACCTCAGTCCTCAGCTGTGACCAGCTGTCCCCCTGCCCACTGGGCCAACAGGAACTGCTCTCCAAGACAGCAGGCAGGATTCCAGCCCTCCGCCTGGTGTCCACTCCTGGTTGGAAGAGGAAGCAGTTCTTGGCCACTTGCCCCTGGGGAGGTGCCCTGGACGTATGGGAGCATCTGGCTGAGCTCAGGGCTGCCTGCTGAGCGAGACCTGGGCCTCAGAGCTGGCCAGGAAGGCTGTGAGCTTGGCCTTGGGTCCTAGCCCTGGTGGGGAGGGCATAGCTCGATCTTGAAGGACCCAGGGCTCCAGGCCGACCTGCGGACAGGGGCCACTTGCACTGACCACTCAGTGCCCTGCCCCAGGGCCCACCCACCAACACACAGCCCTTCCCCAGCTGCCACCCTCCACAAAGGCCCTGCACAGCATCTGCCTCCTCGTGTCCCTCGGTCCATGGTGGGGCTGAGCCCTTCCTGTGCCGTGTCCCCCACAGGCTGCAGTGCGCCTGCCAGCACAACACGTGCGGGGGCTCCTGTGACCGCTGCTGCCCCGGCTTCAACCAGCAGCCGTGGAAGCCCGCAACCACCGACAGTGCCAACGAGTGCCAGTGTGAGTGCCCCCCTTGTACACACACACTCACACACACTCTGGTACCATGTTCTCACATGCAGTCACGTGCACAGGTGCTTACATAACACTGACATCGCTCACACCTGCACACAGTGCTTACCCACACATTCACACGTGCGTTCACATGCATATGCTTACACAGTGCACACACACGTTCACACTCATGCTTGCACAATGCTCACACATACACTTATGCACACGTGTGCTGTTGGCACACTCAGGCAACGTGGCACATTCTGCCACCTGAGCCAGCCCACATCTGGGGTCACCCACGGTTTGTGGGATGTGCCCCTGGGGGTCCCAGTGGTCTCAGCCGGGCGGGGTGATGGAGGGCCTGCTGACAGCTGAGCCCCCTCCTCTCCAGCCTGTAACTGCCACGGCCACGCCCACGACTGCTACTACGACCCTGAGGTGGCCCAGCGCAATGCCAGCCAGAACCAGGACAACGTCTACCAGGGTGGGGGTGTGTGCATCGACTGCCAGGTGGGGCAGGGCTGCTGCCAGGCCTGTGATGGGGGCTCAGGGGAGACCGAGAACTCTCGGCATGGGTGGGGCCCTGTGCACGAGGTCAGGTGTGGGGCTGAGGGTACAGCTGTGTCACCTGGGGCTAGGGGTGGGAATGTTCCTGAACTCAGTGGCCCTGCACACCCCCAGCATCACACCACCGGCATCAACTGTGAACGCTGCCTGCCCGGCTTCTACCGCGCCTCAGACCACCCCCTCGACTCGCCCTATGCCTGCCGCCGTGAGTGGGGTTGGCCTAGGCGGGGTGTCCAGGGGAGCAGGGTCTGCATCCCCGGGGCCCTCACACCACTCTGGGAGGCCTGGTCACGGCTCTCATCCCACTGCCCAGACTGGGGGGGCAAGACTGCCGCTTCCTGGAGCTGACCCCCTGGGGCCTGGTAGCCCTGGGCTGGGGTCTCATGACTTCCCGGCCCCACCCAGGCTGCAACTGCGAGTCGGACTTCACCGACGGGACGTGCGAGGACCTGACCGGCCGCTGCTACTGCCGGCCAAACTTCACGGGGGAGCGGTGCGACGCGTGCGCCGAGGGCTTCACGGGCTTCCCGCGCTGCTACCGTGAGGCTCTGGCCGGGGGGCACCGGGGCTCTGGGGGCGGGGGAGCCCAGGGTGGACGCTTTTGTCCTGCCTGCATCTCCAGTTGTGCGGAGACACCCAGGGCGGCCGGCGTGCTGAGCCGACCTGGCTGACACGCAGTCTCCTCCCCTCAGCGGTGCCCTCCTTCCCCAACGACACCGGGGAGCAGGTGCTGCCAGCCGGACAGATCGTGAGTAAGTGTCCCCCGCCGTCCCTGTCCTGCCCTGGGCCCCACTGAAACAGTGGGGCAGGAGGGGGCCCCACGAAGGCCCCAAAGAGGGAGGATTTTCGTTTTATTCACCTTATTTTTGGTTCTTGTATTTTTATGCAAATAATATGTATTCAAGCTAGAAAACCTTCAAAAATATAAGTGAGCACAAAGTCGAAGCAAAAATTATCCAGAATTGTACCACTTACAGATAACCTCTCTTCCCAGTGCGAGAACCTCTCCGTGCACGTGCACACTTTGCTGTGACAAACACTAGTGTACACGTGCACACTGTTTTGTAATTGCGTTTTCCACCCACCACAATCCTGTAAACAGGTCACTTCGCGGTCTAGGTTACACAGACAGATGTAGCCGATACTTAACCAACCCCCAATTGTTGGAAGTTTAGGTTCTTTCCAGATTTTTTTTAAATAGTGCTACGATAAACATCCTTGCAGCTAAAGCTTTCCATAAATGCTTAATTATTTCCGCAGGACAGTTTCCTAGAAGGTTCTGCCCAGGCTAGACGTGCACGTTTTGGGACATTTTTGGCTGTAGCTTGCCAAGTTGCACCCTTAAAATAAAATAGTCTACCAGCGTAGAGTCGCGTTAGCAGCATTCACACGCATCAATCAAGTCATTGTCGTCACTAGTAGCAACATTTATTATTGTCAGCTGGATTGGCTAAAAACCTCATCAATTCAGGGACGCATTTCTCCGTTTTCTGTACTTCTGGAATTGGGATGCCTCTTTTGGTTGGTGGCATGTCATAGTCTGATTGGCAGGTGTTTGCCTTTCGTAACAGGATATAAAATGATGTGCTTTATAATTGGTGGTGTCGGAGATTAGATTGCATTTGGTGTTTCATTGTTTTCAGCTATATTTCTTTGATTTTTTGTAAGATTGAATCTTCTTCTCCTTGTTCATTGGTGTGAACTCTTGCCATGTTAACTATGTTATCCATTCCTCACAAGTTGGTTTTTCTCCCAATGGGTCACTTGCCTTTTTTTTTTTTTTTTTTTGGTGAGGAAGATTGGGCCTGAGCTAACACGTGTGCCAGTCTTCCTCTATTCTGTGTGTGGGATGCTGCCACAGCACCGCTTTATGAGTGGTGTAGGTCCATGACCAGAATCCAAACCCATGAACCTGGGCCACCAAAGTGGAGTGTGCCCAACTTAAACACTACACCACCTGGCTGGCCCCGCCCCCCCCCCCCCCCTTTTTTAGGAAGCTTTATTTTCATGTGCTGGTGTTTTCAACTTCAGGTGGATCTGTTGACATTGTTCTTGGTCTCAGACTCAGTCATGTTTAGAGTGCGGTCCCTAAACCCAGCTGTTCTCATGGTTGTCGGATTTTTGACAGTTTTCTTTTTGCCTTTAAATGTTTAGTTTTTTGTCAACGGTGTAAACCAGGGGTTGGCAAGCTATTTCTGAAAAGGGCCAGACGGTAAATGTTTTAGGCTTTGAGGGCCGTGTGGTCTGTCGTAACTCTTCAACTCTGCTGTTGTATGTCATAGCTTGAAAGCAGCCATGGACCATGTGTATATGAATGGGCATGGCCGTGTTCCAGTAAAACTTTATTTACACACCAGGCGGAGGAGCCCTTGGACTGTAGTTTGCCAATCCCTGGTGTAAACCGTTGAAAACCCCTCCTGTCCCCACGGGCCCATGGTAAGCACTCAATAATTGCCTATGACGTCGCAGAATTTCACTTTCAATCTGAATTGTACAATGAATTCTATTAATGTCTTTCCTGATGTTGGCCCAGCATGGAACATAAATGTTTTGTGTCTATAATCGTGAGTGAGACTGGTTGAAAGCTTTCTTGTTTGTTTTTTGTGTGTGCCATCTTGTTTTGGTTTTGTAATTCACCTTGTAAAATACTTGGAAAGTGATCCATACTTTTTTATGCTCCAGATCAGTTTAAAAACCACAGGAATTGTCAATTTCTTAAAAGTTTGATAGAACTCATCAAACCATCTGGTCCTGCTACCTGTTTTTCAATGGAGATCTTCGATGATGGTTTTCATTTCTTCTATGGTTATTGTGTCTATTAGTTTTCTACCTCATCTTAAGTCAGTTTTGATTATTTATATTTTCTTAGCAAATTGTTTCTGTCATTTGGATTTTTTTTTAAGGTCTAACTTTTTTTTCTTTTTTTCATATTGGTTTATAACATTATATAAATTTCAGGTGTACGTCATTATATTTCAACTTCTGTATAGACTGCATCGTGTTCACCACCAAAAGGCTAGTTTCCATCCGTCACCATACACATGTGCCCCTTTACCCCTTTCACCCTCCCCCCACCTCCTTCCCCTCTGGTCGTCACCCATCTGTTCTCTGTGTCTATGTGTGTGTGTGTTCATCTTCCATATATGAGTGAAGTCATATGATATCTGGCTTTCTCCGTCTGACTTATTTTGCTTAGCGTAATACCCTCAAGGTCCATCCATGTGGTTGCAAATGGCAAGATTTCGTCTTATTTCTTATGACTGAGTAGTATTCCTTTGTATACATATATCACATCTTTATCCATTAATCCGTTGATGGACACTTCGATTGTTTCCAAGTCTTGGCTATTGTGAATAATGCTGCAGTGAACATAGGGGTGCATATATCTTTTCGAATTAGTGTTTTTGTATTCTTTGGATAAATACCCAAAGTAGAATAGCTGGATCATAAGGTATTTCTATTTTTAATTTTTGAGCCATCTCCATACTGTTTTCCATAGTGGCTACACCAGTTTTCACTCCCACCAGCAGTATATGAGCGTTCCCTTCTCTCCACATCCTCTCCAACAC